CGTTACGGGTTGACCGACACCAATTCACACGAGCTATGGTTCTGGGACAACGATTGTCGAACACCTGAAGACGTCTCAGTTCCGCTGGTCGAGTAGGCCAAATCTCACATCCATACAACAAAACAGCCCGTACTGTAGCTTGATACACACGTCCCTTGAGATTCAGGGATAAACCACTCTGACGCCATGGGTATCCCAAATGAGCAAACACGGTCCGAGCCTTGCAGATTCGTGCATTCAACCTCATCTAGCTAATACAACTTCCAAGATATGTAGAACGCTTCACAACTTCCAGTACCTCTCCCTGGATTATAAGTGGCGTGTTCAGTGACTGCAGGTCTACAAGCATGACCTTACAATTTCTAGGGTCCATTTAGTTCGGACCGACCGTAATGGCGTCTAGCTTTGTAACCCAATGCATTCTGGGATCTTTTTGTAAGAAACCAAAATTGGGCAGATGCCTCACAAACAATTGATTTTGGCTGAGGTGCATCCTCCACATTTGAGTACCCCACGTTTACGGAGAGTGTAGGAAACTATGAAAAGATTCAAAATTGGTAACTCAAATACTACATGAGACAACATGAGACATACCGTCTCGTCTGGTCGGTAAGTCAGAAAAGACCGCGGTTTAAGTGCCTGCGGAGTCCTACCATCAGAACAGCGCACATCTGCACCAAACTAGCAAGTCATATTTTCGAAAATAAAAGTCAGGAGCACCAATTTCGTCAACTTCTGCTGTCTCATGCATAAATAAAATACATAGACCTAACTAGCTCAACTGTTTGGTAGTGACTGGTGCTCAGGCTGACAACATTCCATCTAAGAGAACATTTCTTTGAAACGAAGACACCATGACCTTCTAGAACCGTGTAATCTGATCTGCACGCATACAGTCTGAGTTCCAATCGAGCGGGCTGATATTGTTTACGAGAGACCACTCGGTTGGTAACCAACTTGAGTGTCATCCGCGAAAAACAGCACCGTAAAATTGCACGCAGACCAAGTTGTTGTGACACTGATTCGAACTACGGTGAAACCAATTCTCACGAAATAAACGTGGCATACATCTGAATCACCGAGTATATCGGCAAGCAAAAGGTGAGCTCATGTTGAGTTAAAAGACCAGGGAAATGAATCAAGGAAGCGGACGAAAGATGGTTCTCGGTTTCAGAAAACGTAGACAACGTAGGCAAATCTATCGTTCCAGAAGGCAGTAGAGGTGAGCTATCTTGTAAAAGATTCATGGGACGGTCATTAATAACAAGAGATGTACTATGGAACGCATCGTTAGTGATTTTACGCGGCAAACTTTCAATTTATCATTAACTAGCCTCTTACTTTTCAAAGTAGTTAAATAGCTATTGTGTTAAAAGTGATTCCATATTTCCATTAGAAAGGCTGCGTGTGAAGAATGAATGAGAACCGCACTGTACAGAGGTGAAGTTTTGTCAACCTACTTTTAAAAAGAGATGGTGACGTGTAAAAAAAGAAGCGATTTCTCACCACAGGAGAGCCTGTTTGTGGTGCGAGATTTCGGAACTTTCAATGGAGCGTTCGTCTTGCAAGGTAAATCGATGTCAAAACAACCGAGAAGCACTGTATACCTGTTTCATTCCCATTGGGAGTAATCAGTGGCATAGATCTCACAAAACTCAGTGGGTTTTAGATCCACTACCCCCCAGCTAGTTACTGAACAAGTATCAGTTCGGCCAGGAGGGGCTCGTCAGTAATCTGATATAGTGTCTCTCATCCTTCAATTACAGAATCCACATCACTTGGTCACGTTTGACTGGATAAAAGTATCAGTTCGGCCAGGAGGGGCTCGTCAGTAATCTGATATAGTGTCTCTCATCCTTCAATTACAGAATCCACATCACTTGGTCACGTGTTGACTGGATTCCCAAGTGACAAATTCCCAAATATAAGGTTCAGCGGTGTAAAACTGATCTTCCTTCTGAACTACTCAAAATTTCTGTTCGTGTAATCTGTCTATCTTTGACAGAATTCCACTCATTTTAATAGGAACAAAGCAGTATGTACGGGACAGCATCAATGTTCTCCAGGCTTTAGATTCACCCATCAACTTCCATTGATTGGAATTGGTAAAATAGATATCAATAAATCAGTTACATGACAAGAAAAAACTGGCTCACGCTGGTTCGCCGAGGAAGTGTTGACAGTTTCGGCGAAGACATCAGTCGCCAAACCTGAAGTTACTCAAACGGTTTGTGTTATGTGGCAATTTCTGATGATCAACCACTGATCATGGTTTTTTTTAGAAAAAGAGGTACAGCGACTTCGTCGCCAGTATATACGGTTTGGTATATCAAAACTTGCTTTGCATGTTGAACCCCACCTGCTATGTTCATCCCGGCTGACTGAAGCCGTTTCCCGGGATTAGTCCAAAAACACAAGCATTTGACGTCAACAAATTACTGTGAATAAGAGTTGCGGTACACCAAGCCTGGTCTGTTGAAGACAGATTATTGAATTGAGGTGGATCGCGCCAATCCCATTTAGAGACAGAGTCCCAATGAGACAAAAAGCAGCGAATGAGGATAGAGCTATCACTGCGACCAACTGCGGGTGGGGTGTACAGCGATCCAATCAGATGCCGAATACCTTTGGTTTCAAGTCATCTAGAAAGTTCGCCACTGGAGACCAAAGTGGACTGCACTAGATGTTTTCGCCAGCCGGAAGCTGTGGCAATCACTTTTCACAGGACCGGCAGGTACAGAACTCTAATGTTTGGTATCTCTGAAAAAAAAACGTGTAGACTTTTCACTTGAAATGCCCTGGGTGCCTCGTTCAGGGTATTTCCTGGAGGATTAAACGACTGACACCCAGCGCCGTTTGTTGATTACAATAGTTAGTCACTTGCCAAAAATATGCAGTTTGAGTGAATAGCACTCATATAAATGGTTGGAAGACAAACACATAGCAAACGTCCGCTGGTCTAGTCACCACAACATTGAAACTACAGCTGTCTGGGACACATATTCAAACTATACGTGAAGTGAAGAACAGCTGACCAACAAGAGTACTTCGTGAGTTACATTAAAGTCCTTAAGATAGGAGTGGTCTATGGAATATTGAGGTTTTGCTCGTTTTTATTCCGTTAGTTAGAACTAATACAGCACCGTCAAGTAACCCCAATCCATGAGAAAGGAACCCCAGCCAAGAGATGCGTTTATGCTCGTGTTATCATCGCCCACCAAGTGGAAGAATCTCCCGACTTCGAAACAGCTTGTTTCTGCTGCTGTTTCTCATAGCTCCAGAAACAAAAGCGCAGTGAACTGTTTTAGTGGAACCTTCTTGTGTAGAGTAGGCATATTCTTGGATCTAAGATGCATGCACAAAGTGAACTAAAACGCTTACAAACGTAGTAAGGATAGAGCGTAGGGACAGAGAAGCATAGAAAAACATAACTCACGTGCCAGTGACTGTCACTACGTTTCCTCTTCAAAATTAACTATTTGGTTGTCTCACTTTACTCATGTCTGGCAGTATGGCACGAAAATTATTTATCCACAGTAACAAGGATGGCAGCGGATGGCGAAAGATAGACAGGTTCTTCAAGTTAGACCAACACATCTCATTCGCAGGTATGCCACATCCAAACTTCCATTACCGGGAGCCAAAAACTTGGGATTCAGATCACTCGGATACAACCATAACTGAAAAGAAGTAGTCCACTTAAAAAACTAGCACAGCACACATCTCCATCAAAGGACCTCGTTAACAGAAGCAAGGAGACGTTTTTAAATGTATGATAGTTCTCAAGAACATTATCTTCAAAGGAGCGTATGATTCAGAACTAAGTTTTCTGATCCTTCCTGTCTGGATGATACGCCCAACTTGGGGTGAGAACAGCGGGGATGCCCCGTCATTCATTATTCCCATTGACGAAAACATACATTAATAAATAGTGGTACTTGAAATCACACGACTACAAGAATGAATGACCTAGTACAGAATGAAAAGAAAAAGAAGGCTTAGATGGTTAGTTCAGACAACCCTAAAGATCGAAAACTAGTCACATCAAATCCTCCCTAAGTGAGAGCTACTCGCGCTGCTGATCAGCCGCTCGTGGCCAAACACTGACCGGCAAGTCACGAGTTAGAAGCCCAATGAGCTTCGTGATATGTGGACTGATCATGATTCTCACTTGGATGAAACAGCTTAACAGTGCTTCTCGGCCCTTCAGCACAAGTTGGCCTCACTCGTGAGACGAAATCTCAATTGAGAAAACCAACAAGTCTACACTTCGGGATTGCAACCAGATAAACACACCCCAAAGAAAATGATGCACTGTCTTTTGTGAACTGCAACCAACCGGAACCCAGAGTACAGTTTTGACCGAACTGTAACTAGGCGGTCCGTCTGGAAAATAACCGCACACTCAGCAATTGGACCGCTATGTGACACACACTGTGGTTTCTGACCACGTACAAGCAGGATCACGTAGACACCAACTCAGTTTTACCACAAAACATGTTAGATTCGCGTCGCAAAGTCATAGTCTTTCCTCCGCAAACTGTTCGGAGTTGTATGCCACTGACACCGGTTCGCTAGCTGACCGGACGATACACTAAGTTACCAAGTTAACGGTCTCTCTTTGACTGGACTGAACATGACTGAGCCTCGGATACTCAGTCAGCAGGTGAAACACCCCGACTTGTTAGCACTTCTTATTCGAAGAAGACCCAATAGGTTCTACTGATCCCGCCGATGTTTATCATGTTGCAGTGGTGAGTGCGAACTAGAAAAATGCATGCGCATCAAATAGCTTGGAGTATTCTTTTTCATAAAGGAAACTACTCACAAGGTTGCTAAAAACTCTTCGACAGCTCACGACCGGTTTCGCCCTCCCCATACGGGCTCATCAGGTGGGCACAGTCTCCGAGTTTCCGTCAACCTTATGTTCTACTTGAAAACAAAGTGGACTGTTTTCGAGAAATACACTCATTTGCAAATCAATTTGGTTTTTATGACAGACTCAACTGAATCTCTCGTTCATGGTATTCTACAACTGAATGTGCTGCACACAGGCCGCGTCATGTTTCAGTTGGCACGATTCAAGCAGAACATAAGGTTGACAGAAACTCGGGGACTGCGCCTACCTGATGAGCCCCAAGAAGAGCGAAACCGGTTGTGGGCTATCGAAGTTTTCAGAAACCTTGTAAGTAGTTTCCTTTATGAAAATATACTGCGATATCTCGAATATCGTGCCAACTGAAACATGAGGCGAACTGTGTGCAGTACATTCAATTGTAGAATATCACAAACGAGAGATTCAGTTGAGTCTCTCGTGAAAACCAAATTGATTTGCGAATGGGAGTATTCTTGTTCTCAGACGAAGAAAAACTCCATTTCATCCACAGGAAAGCTGTCAAAATAGGAAAAAGGCAAAAGTAAAGAATTGTGGATGCATCTTCGGCTTCCAAGTCATTCTTAAAATTGATTGTTTCACGCTTTGCCTTGATAATTTATCTTTGCTGTAGTGTGCATATGAAGTCTCAGAAAACGGTTTCCCTCCTCTTACTAGGTGGGATTTTTCGGAGTAACGAGAAGTAGTGACTCAACCTGATTCACCAGTTAGATGAGTTCAATTCGCATAAATTGACCATTTGTGATAGTCAAGGACCCTGTGAAAACTCACGGAATATCATCATCCGGGAGTTGTGGACTCGAGAAAGTGAACCGATAGGCCAAATCCACCTATTTGACCGGCGAATATGTCAGGTATACAATGTGTATTTATCATTTTTGGTGAAATCTACATAAGTTCAAAAAGAGTACAACGTGAAGATACATCCATGCATTAAAGTATCAACACACAGAACGGTGATCATAGAGTGAACCACACCAATAAAAGCACCCATCGTGAGCAGAATAAAAAGGAATCCAGAATGCTACTAGAATAGAACAGGTGGGAACGGACAGTTTCGAATAATTCTCAAGACAATTAGCATCATTTATCATTTAGAAAGTACAGACAGGACTGTGCTACTAAAGTACCGTACGAATTTTGTACACGCTGTGGAACAATCGATTTTCCATTGGACTCACAGGTTACTCAGTGCGTCGTTGTCTAACGAAAAGTGTAATCTTAAATTCAGACCAAGATCATCTGAAGCTTCTGCAGATTGGTCACTGACGTCTCGCAACACTTGCTCAGCTGCCGATCAATATTAACCTTGAGTTTTATCTCAAGAGGGTGGGTGAAGTCACAAACGCAGACAAGTTGGAGTCTAACCAGGTGTGTGTGTGTGCTGTCTTTATTGAGTCTTAGGTTATCTGTCACATTGACCAGACTACATGCATGTTTTGTGTGGAGGAATTGATAGTCACAGTAGGTTAGTCAGAGAACAATGTTCGGTGTCTCGTACGATGACGTTTACAGTTGAGTACAACCGACATGGTCTAGTGAATGTTTCGGGCAACTGAACATCATTTACCTTACCACGTGGCTAACGACAAACGAAGTTATTTTAGCTACCGCTGATGAGTGTCAGGCTTCTCCGCCGGGTAACAAGAATATGAACTTGCTTTGTTACCAGTTAAAGACGTGACTACTATCGGGTTATAAGCGGAGTGCTCAATAAGCAACAAGCAGGCTGGTCAATAAGTACACTTATCCGATAAGTTCGATGCTTCACTGAGTGTGGACGTGAGTCGTGCATTTAATTAGTTACAAGACAATCTCCTTCCAGTCCAACAGCACTTCCGTTTGGTGTTACCAAAAAGAGCTGTTCGGATAAATGACAGTATAACAGAACAGACAGAAGAAAAAAGGAGCATCACTCTCTCCTGGGAAAGTCTTAAATCTGGAGGGTGCTGCCAGACTGCCGAGGGTCTTTAAATAGGATGGTCGCTCCGTAACGGGACATCTTTGCGGTTATAACACAATCCAAATTTGGAACTGCCATCTACTGATTCTCCCAAAAAAGCCCATATTGAACAAGGAATACGTGTAGCTCTTATTGGTAGCTATCACACTCATTTACTGCTGATGTATAAGGATTCTGTGGACTCGATTTGTATGAGAGTAGTTCGTAGATGTCTACTTTTAGGTGGCTATTGTTAAAAATCTTTTGGCTACAGTCCGGTGCCAGAAAAACACCACGTGTACAAGCTACGCACCAAGTTGGTATTACTGGATTTCCAGGGCGCATTCGACTCGGTTGACCGGTATGGTCTCCTTGACACCCCTACCCATCAAGCATTTCCCCCAGAAGTTTGTGAACTTCCTGGCGTGTGAGAGCCTCTCCAAAAGCGGTGGTGTCCATCAGGGGTGCGCACTCCCCCATTCCTATTTAACTTCGTGATCGACGAGATAATGAGACGAAAAACCGGCTGTTCCGGTGCTTGTTCAAGCAGCAAAACTGAGACCCCTTCAGGTCTTCGACCACTGTTGGCTCAGAACAACATCCCATGTAGGTTGGTGTCAGCAACGATGAATTTTTGAACTGGGTGTTTTACTGTGCACCATGTACTTCCATCGAAGAATTTACCCAAAACCAGAAGCTGTGTTGGTTAGGCCACGTACTGCATATACCAAACTATTATTCGCCGAAAAAATGCTCTTTTCCGTACCCGATTTAGAATGGCGGAAGCAGAAAGGTGGCCAATCTTCGACCTGGCAGAAGAGTAAGAAGGAGACTAGGAAAAGTATAACTGCTTACAGTGCTGCCCTGCTTGCGGGATAGGAGCCGCCTTATCTCCACCGACCTACGAAAGGTACGGCTGCCAGTGATGCAAATGTTGGTCCTGTTGTCAATTTCAATTCAGAATGCGCAAATGAGTTTCTGAAGATGTGGGTACTTAGGAATGATTGTGGATAACTTGCAACAAGTTCCTCACTTGTCCACTTTTATTCTTTTCTTCACATGAAGGCTTTCAAATAAATCATGGCTGGACTCAGCGAAGCATCAGTTTTGGACACTGCTGTTACGCAGTCGATTTAAATAGCCATTGTAATTCTCTATACAGTCGGTTTATCGCTTGCTGTGAATTACGTTTCCCTGTTCCTGAGTGCTACTTTACTTGGCTCTGTAAATATATTCAAACATTTACGAACCGGATAGTAAATCAAGCAGTGGATACGCCACAGGAAGAATTTGACTTATGCTTGATGGCAGCTTTCTCAGAATGAATGAGCAACATTCATATTCACCCAACTGCGTGAGGTTTTTAAGGCCTCACCGTAATAGCTTAAAGAAGCGACCCGGTTGGAAAGAAAGGAGAAAGACTTCAGCGCTTTAAACGCTCTTCAGAAAAAGTGAATTCTCATCAGGCATAGTTTATCTTCCCGAAAGAAGCTCAACATGATTGTTCCGTTGAACGATGTCGCTTTATAAAGCTTGGCAAGACAACCGATGTAGTTGGTGTGTCCATAATCTTTAGATAGATGAGAGGGGTACACGGCTTCAAGAAGAGCATTCTGAGATGTGAACCTGACCTGA